ATACTGTATTTGCATTATATGAATAGTGATGTGCTATTATTTCCATGTAGATCCTATATGTGTCAAGTGCTAATACCTGATATGATGTTTCATATAAGTAAAATTGTCTCATAGATGCAAGGGTGCAGGCTGGCTACCTGTCATGAGATGGTGTACCTGTCGTGACGTGACGTGCCTGTGGTGATGAGGTGGTAATGTGAAGCGTCAGTGCTACCTGCTTGGGATACGATGTAAATATTTTTATGTTTATGTGTGATGAATTTGCTACTTGTCTGTCATTTTTAAGTGCTTATACATTCATTTATATATACGGTAGATATGCAAGTTTAGACTAATAAATATTCGTTTTGTGTGTGTAATGAATGTTCATTGAGTCGGGCTGTATATCTACAAATAGTTCCGATTAATTTCGTATATTTATGTTAATAGGCTTCCAGTCTTTTGAAATAAGAAAAGTAACGCATTACACATCATGTATCAAGAAAGCCCAGACTTAAATAACTGTGGTACTTTGTTCAATGACCTGTATTTCAGTACATGGTTACCAATGTTTTATTTGTTTGCAGCTCGAATGTCTCCAGGAAAGGATTAAACCGTGTGCAAGAATCCAAGAGATTATTCTTGATGCCCTTATTGATGCAGGTGATGCTGACACGTTGCACTGGTGGCCCTACAGTGACGTATTTTGTAGTTGGAGATACTGTGGGCTACAATTCGAGATCTACCCTGTGACGAAGGGTACCTACAGAACACTTGCAAGAGATTCCTAGTCCCTAGTCATGTCTACTAATATGAAAAATAAAGTGGCCAGAAGTGTGGCAAGATCTGACAGATCTCTGAAATCTCGTGGCTCAAAATGCTCTGTGCATACGCAAACTTCTGAATACCATCTTCGCATGCTGGAATTGCAGTTGCAGCAAGAAATGTTGAATATAGAAAGTAAGTATGAAAGAAGAGAACAAGAACGAGAGAAGGAGTTGCTGAAAATTAAACAAGAAGTTTCACGTATCAGGTTTGTTAATCAAGCTAGGTCTGAACCTGCCAGAACCAGAGCCCACTCATCACAATCTGACCCTGGTACTGACTCGGAAATGAGCTGTGTTTTGGATGTGCAGTTAAAATCTCATTCAGCTCAAGAAATTATTTGTGATAAATGGGCAAGTGATGTTAATTCCCACATTGAAAATGGAACAATAGATCCACAACCCAGATCTGATTTCTGTGCTGCTACTAGTGGAATGGGGTGCCCTTCCAGTGATTTAAAGGGTTGTGAATCGGTTAGTGCTCCCGCTCAGGTGGACATGCAATCAGCATGTCAAGTTCTTGGTCCTATAACCTCAAGTATTGCTCTTCAACAGTCTGCTGTACCTGTGCTGGTTAATACTAACATGCCTGCAAGTCGCCTACCATCAGTTCCTGAATCTCGTGTGCTGTTCACTCAAAGCACTCCTGTGAATCCTTCAGTTCCTCCATTTACAACCTTTTCCAAGACCATGCCAACTGTTCAAACACCCAATCATTCTGGGCATGAAGTGACACATCCTCTCACCATGGGGCAAGCTACCCATATACTGCAAGCATTAGATTCTACGATGATGAGCCAGCAAGAGCTTAGCCGCAGAACACTGCTCCCTCCTATAAAGCTTGAGAGATTTAATGGGGATTTAACCAAGTTTGTCCAGTTCCGCAATACATTTACATGGAATGTAGAAAGCAACACTGAAGATCCCAAGAGAAGGTTGACTCATCTTTACAATCAGCTAGATGGCCCTCCAAGAAAGCTTATAGAAGGATGCCTACACCTGCCTCCAGCTGAGGGATATGAAATGGCATGGACGTTGTTGAATAAGGAATATGAAGACTCGCATAACCTTATTGAGGCCTACATCAGGAAACTACTGGAGTGGAAGGACATTGATGTGAGTGATGTAGAAGAGTTAGAGGAGTATGGTTCTTATCTCTTCAATGTGCAGTGTGCTCTCAGAGAAAATATTATGAGGATGGAGCTAAGGGAAGTGATGACTAAAGTGGTTAGCAAACTACCCAAGTACCTACGAAATAAATGGGCAGCTAGGTGTGTGACCCAGGAATCAGGATACTCCTTCCCCTCATTAGTAGCCTTTGTCAAGGAGCAAGCCAAGGTTGCAAAGGAAGGCAGGTATATCGAAGAAGCGCGAAGTAAACAACTTTCTATTAGGAGAAAAGTTGCTGTAATCAATAAGCCTAAAGGACTCACTGTAAGTACAACACATCCAGTCTGTGAATCTAACATTGGGACAGATGATTGTCTTTGTTGCAATAAACGAGGTCATGCTTTACATGCCTGTTTCAAGTTTGGCAGATTAAATGTACAAGATCGCTGGAATACGGCCATGTCCAAGAGGCTGTGTTTCCGTTGCCTTAAACCCTCTCATGGCCATAGAGACTGCAAGGATAAAAGTAAATGTGGTCAGTG